TATATATATATATATATATGTATGTATGTATGAATAGTCAAGATTTAATTATCTCATATTAGAATTTTATGAATGGAAAGAAACATAGTTAAGAGGAGAGACTTCATGACCTATTCAAATTTTTTTGACAAAAATTAGGGCATCTTCAATGGAAGCAACTTAAATGAGTTGCTTCATGCATTGAAAAATGTAAAAAATGGTCCCAGTGTGCTATATCATTAAGCAACTCAAACACAAATTTATTCCAATGGTAAGAAACTTTAAGAAATTCAGCTTTTATAATTTTTTTTTCTAATCATATGAACTAAATTTAAATTTTTATTAAAAAGGACAATTGCATTACAATAAAAAAAATAAATTACGAGAAAAAAATACACGATAAGTAATTTTTTTTATTTTTTTTTAAGCCCAACGACTCTTTTTTCTTCTCAGCCATCACTCTCTATTTTCTTCCTCTCATTCTCTTCCTCTCTCATTTTTCCTTTTTCCTCCCCTCACTCTCCATCTCCTTGCCACCCACTTTGAGTTGCTTCCGTACGAAATTGTGGCCAAGATCATCGCCTCCTTTGACGACCCCAACTTCCACACGGCGTCGCTCGTGTCTCATGCTTGGTGGGAAGCGCTGTTGGCTGCTGTGGGAGGCCATGGTGTTGCTCTGGTAAGGCTTCAAGGCCTTCAATAAAGTCGTCGCGCTGCTTCGCCCTCCTCGTCAAACCCCGCGCCTCCGTCGTCAAACCCCGCACCTCCGCCGTCAAACCCTCACCGTCAAACACCTCGCCTCCACCGTCAAATCTCGCGCCTCCGCCGTCAACCCTCGCCTCACCCCCGCTTCGCTGATCTCTTCCCCCCACCAAAATCTGGTAAGCAACGGTTACTTGCAGAAACAACTCTCTCTTCTTCAAGCAACTCACATTGCTATGTAAAAGTGCTCCAATGTGAAGAAACCAGGCCTTGAAATAAGAAACGAGACAAGCAACTCTCATTGGAGTTGCTCTAGAAATCAAAGATAATATACACTTGACATCAATAATATAGTTATATATATATATATAATTAAACTAAAACAAAAAGGTTATATATTTAAAAAATTGTGAAGGATATTTCATTTAAAGGTTATAGATAATTTAACATAAATCTATTTTAAATTTCTGTCTTTTTATTTTTTTAAGTCAAATATATTATTTATTTTTATAACCATCACACACAAATATTAAAATAAGTTATACAATTGAATTATTTTAATTATAGATATTCAAACAAATTTCACAATATATCAAATTAATCTATTTTAATTGATTCGTATTTTTTTTCTTGTAACTAATTAACTAAAGAAAAGAAGAAAAAAAATACGAGTATTTATATTCTTTGTACTAAAAAAGAACTGAAACTGGTGTAAGATTATTAACAGGAAGAATAAGCCACCACCAATTTGTTGCTATATATATTTTGGCAAATCCGCAAATGAAGGGTTGCAAAAGAAATATAGCAAAATGGTTGTTCCTAAATAGTTGAAAACCCTACCATGTGTGAACCCCATTTAAACCAACTCCTGAACCCCATTTTAAATTTCATGGTGAGAGTGGAAAATATAACATTTTGCACCCTATAAGCACTTGGTTTCATCCAAATACAAGCCACACTTCATTATTGCAACCTTGAGGTGACAATCACTATAAGTTGTGAAGGCATTTCTTATTGAATTCTAAGGAAACAATAATATAAGGAAGAAATGACAAAGATATCGTTAGGTTTGGTGTTTGCATTGGTGGTGGCTGTGCCATTGCATTCAGTTTTGTGTGATCTGGATGCAGATCCAATATGGAGGAGTGTCATAGACCAAGCAACAAGTGAAGCAACCAAAGCAGGTTTTTCTCAAGAATCAATATTTGAGGCTCAGAAGGCTATTCAAGATGGTGCTGCCCAAAAGGTTGCTGAGGAGGCCTTGGATGGAGCATCTTTGAATGATTGGGTTCAACAAGCCGAGTAAGATCATGTGCCCTTTTTTACATTTCACAACCACATTCAACTTTCTTTTTCTCATGCAAAATACTAATTATAAACATTGTTATATATGCTAAAAATTGTTTTATTTTAACAAAGTTATTATTAAAAAAAATGTTAACTAAACAATTTAAATTACCTGAGAAATGGTTTCTTTTATAAAAAAAAAAATCTTTTTTGTAAACTAATATAAGAGAAACACATCAATAAGTCATTTGTCCCAATCAAACTATTTCCTTTCCTTTAAAAAAGGTCTCAAGTTTGAGATGAAAAAAAATATATTGAGAAGATACAACAAAAGGTAATTAGATAAAATTTTGACAAAAGTTAGTCGTTATCCAAATCCATAGATATTTAGTACCATTAACATAGTTACCAAAATACATAACATTACACATTATTACTTTTTCTTTGCTAACAAATATCAAATTGATTCAAATTAATTAGTGTCATTAGTTTTATAAGAAAACTGTGATATTAAAAGATATTTAAAATATTTCTAAATAAAAAAGTGATGTGATCAGATGTTGGTATGTCTTTTGAAGATTAAAATGCAGAATTACTCAAAAACTAATTGTGATTATTGTTGTGAAAAATCAGCAATTTGGTGAACAGTGGAGGTTCACCTGCTGAGGCACCGGAAGATTCGCCTGATGATGAAGATGAAGACAATTTACCAACAGATGCACCTTCAGAGGCACCAACAGATGCACCTGCAAGTGCACCCATAGGATCAACCACAACACTAACAATAAATGCACCGTCTGAAGCACCCCAAGCAGAATCTCCCTTAGCGGCAGTAATCTAAGCAGCATATATATATTACAAAAAAGAAATAAATTTAACAAAATATCATACTTTAAAATATATTTATCAAAGTATTACATTTATTATTTATGTTGAAAAATTGATCTCCTACCAACCAATTTCTCATCTTAATTTTCTATTTTTGTATTGAGAAATTAGTTAACTAGTAATCAATTTTTTGACTGCAATTTTTTTTTACAATTTCCTTTTTTTGTAATATTATTATTATTTGTTATTTAATATATATTTTTTATTTAATTTATTATCTTAAAAATTAGTTAACATATAATAAATAAATTCATAACTTTTATTTTATAACTCAAAAATTTTGTAAGAAACAATTATAAATAATTTAAAATGCATAATTTCATTATGCAACACAAATTAAAGAGTACATTTACAATATCGAAAAAAAATTCTAAAAGATGAATTACATTGCAAATATAT